AGGGAATATTCCCTTCTGACAACATGACTAAAGTAGGTGAGACAAAGTATGGCCATTCTTGCTTCCAAGGAGCATTTCAGCTGCACTTCTTCTGGGACAGATTTGTTTGTTCTTGGTTCATGATATTTTCATTTTTTGCCACCACCACAATTCAAAGACATCACCTCTTCTCTGGTCTTCCTTATTCATTGTCTACCTTTCACCTGCATATGAGGCATTTGAAAATACGCTGGCTTGGGTCAGGTGCACTTAGTTTTCAAAGTGACATCTTTCCTTGTTAACGCTTTTTAAAGAGGTCTTTTGCAGCAGATTTTCCCAGTGCAATACAACCTTTTATTTCTTGACTGCTACTTGCATGGGTGTTGACTGTGGATCCAAGTGAAAGAAAATACCTAAAACTTTAATCTCTCCTCTCTCCATTTATCATGATGTTGCTTGTTGGTCCAGTTGTGAGGATTTTTGTTTTATGTTGAAGTATAATCCATGCTAGATTGTAGTCTTTGATCTTTGTCAGTAAGTACTTCATCTTCACTTTCAGTAAGCAAGATTGTGCTATCTGAGTATCACAGGTTGTTAATGGTCTTTCTCTAATCCTGATGCCACATTCTTCTTCATATAGTCCAGCCTCTCTGATTATTTGCTCAGCATACAGATTGAATGAATATGGTAAAATGATACAACCTTGACATATACCCTTCCTGATTTTAAACCATGAAGTATCCCCTTGTTCTGTTCGAATCATAGTCTCTTAGCCTGTGTACAGGTTCCTCATGAGAACAATTAAGTGTTCCGGAATTCCCGTTCTTCACAATGTTATGCATAATTTGTTATAATCCACACACTCAAATGCTTTTGCATAGTCAATAAAACTTTTATAGGAATCTATCTGGATTGCAGGGAGAACAGTAAGATTTCAAAAGGTGTAGCGAACAAAGGATTTGAGCTTACGTACACAGGAAAAGAGGAGGAAGCATGGCAAAAGTTACAGGGGATCTGTTGAACTGCTGATAAGTATTATCACTAAGCTTATTTGTTACATTGTGCAGTTGTTACATCCTGAGAGTCAGTACAGCATTCTGTTAGAGGCTGATTTTCTGTTGCATCTCTAGTCTGTCTGTTCACCTTAACAAACTTAGTTTCTACTTCAGTTACAAATTTACAGCAGAAAGGAACACAGTGGCAAGCTCCAGTGAATAAAATTTTAATTTTAAAATTAATAATAATTAATTAATTCAAGATATGAACTTAGACTTGATATATACCTATCCTAACTACAAAGTTATTTACAAGGTCTAATTTCATTCAACTTTATTGGTTCTATTTCTCATTCTCCTGCTGACCAAGGCACCTTCTCCAGGGCCAGCTGCACAAACATTCTTAACAGGCACTAACTATCTAGATCAGAAACCCTGACTGCCTTTGTTTTCAAAGTAAAACAGTAAAAGTTTGACCCAAAAAAAGGCTGAATGGTTTCTTTAGAAAAGTAGAAATGAACATCTGAGTTAAATTCAGAATGGAGTGTCTGCGATGATGGCCAAATAAGCGAAAGGTGATGGAGAAATCTAATGCTGAACATGAAGGAAACATTCGGAAGTCTAGAGGGAAAGCTGAGTGATGAGATTAAAAGTTAATGACATGACACCATCTGGAAGGATGTAGTTTCAAGTCGAGTCCCTAAAAGCACTATGCTGTATATGAAATGAACCTGAAACAACAGATTAGAAATCAAATATGCAGCACTTCCTCTCAGACCTCTACAACAGTGGACATTCTTCGTGTATCAGAGAGTTTCTTATTAGTGGCAGTGTCATAGTAGGTCCTGAGTTGATTTGGAACAGCACATGGGAGGTGAGAAACCAGAGCTTGTTCAGATGGTGCCTGAGGTCTCATCCAGTTCTGTAAATGGATGATTTTATTAAAAAGACACACTTAGTCGCTCTATCTTGGATGTAGGTTACTTCATTTATTCATGTTTGGGCTTAATTAGAAATTAAGAGATTTATTTCTTAATTAGAAATAACTCTGAAAGCTACAAAATAAAATTTTGGTGTTCCCAGAAATGACAGATAGGCTTTTTGTCAAAGTACTAGTAAGGAATAACTCAGATACCGTTTTAATAAGCATAATGTTAAAGAGCTATGAATTGGGAGATTTGGTAGCAGCTTTACTGGATACTGTAATATAATCTGACCTAGATGGAGGCTTTTTCTTACTTGTATCCATATGACATTTTCCCAGCCTTCACAGAGAACATAATATTTTGCCTTGAGATGTTGTTGTTATTATATGCCATCAAGTCGGATCCAATTCATAGCAACCCCTCCTTGGGTTTCTGAGGTGGTATCACTACAGAAGTAGATTGCCCAACCTTCCTTCGGAGGAGTGGCTTGTGGGTTTGAACCGCCAGACTACTGTTTTTTTTTTTTTTTTTCCTTTCAGTATTTTTGTATGTTTGACATTATATATAAATTATAGTGAAATTTCTAGAGAAAAAAGAAATTACTTAATTAGAAATTACTTAATTAAAAAGAAAATTTTATGTACATAGTAGAGTTACTTAAGGAGCTCTGGTAGCGTAGTGCCCTAAGACATTTGACTGCTAATCAGAAGGTTGGCATTTGAAACCCACCAGCTACTCCATAGAAGGAAGACTGGGAAATCTACCCATAAAGATTTACCGCTTCGGAAACCCAAAGGGAGTTGCTATGAGTTGGAATTGACTCGATAGCAGTGAGTTTCATTTTTTTTTTCTTTCTTTCTTTCTTTTTTTTTTTTGGAGTTACTTAATCAGAATTGAGGAGCACCATTAAATAATCCACAGACTCCTTGATATTTTATAGATTGATAGATGCCAACTCATAGTAACCTTATGTACAGCAGAATGAAACTTTGCTGGTCCTGTATCATCGTCATGGTCGGTGACATGTTTGAGTCTGTTATTGCAGCTATTGTGCCAGTCCATCTCACTGAGGGTCTCCCTCATTCTCACTGGCTCTCTCATGTACCAAACACAGTGATTTCCTCCATTGAGTAATCCCTGATGCTGTGTCCAAATTAAGCAAGTCAGACAGTGTTCTATTATAATCTGTAAAATTTTCAAGTGGCTAGTTTTTGGAAGTAGATCATTAGACCTTTCCTTGTTGTCTGTCTTAGTGTGTAAGGCTCCACTTAAACCTGCCTCCTGTGGGTGACCCTGCTAGTATTTGAAATAGTGATGGCATAACATCCAGCATCACAGCAACATGCAAGCCACCACAGTATGACACACTTTCACATGGGTGGTGGCTGATATTTTATACACTATTTGAAATGTGTGTGAGTACATGTGTAGAGTTTTATGTTAGAGTCCAAAAGTGTCTTTTGCTTAATCCCCAAATATACTTTAGACTGGAAGATGCCAGAGGTTGGTGGTTGTATATAGTTGTTCTCACCAAGAAAGGTCCTTGTACATACCACATATCAATATATGATGATCAGAATGGCTTTGCAAAATAATGTTTATACTGTTTTTCATGTGATAAGTTAATGTGCCTGTGGTCTTTTATAAGGAGCTCTGGGGGTACAGTGGTTCAGGTATTTGGCTCCTAATCAAAATGTCAGTGGTTCAAACTCACCAGCTGCTCCACAGAAGAAAGATGAGGCAGGCTGCTTCCATAAAGATTTACCCTATGGGGTGGCTATGAGTCAGAATCAACTTGATGGCAGTGAGTTTGAGGGTCTTTTATATGTTGATATCACTGTTTAAGTTTTTAACATTTTTTCTTAACCTACATTTACTTATGGGTATCTTTCCACTTCACCAGTCATGGTTCTGAAGTGGGAATGGAAAGGAGGGAGTAAGTTCAGGTTTTCCATGGAAAGATTGTGGCTTCTGAGGGCAAAGGGTAAAAATTGACTTTCAGATATTGAGGGTAGAGATGGAAATTGGGAGGATGTTCAATCAATAACCTGAGATATTGTTTCATAAGTACTAATGTCCAAAAGAAGAAAGCCTATCACTCTGGCAGTTGCACGTGTTTTCCTTCAAACTGACCTGGTTGTCATGTTGGAATTAGTGATGACATCAGCAGGTTCCAGTGCTCCTGATTGGAAGATTCAGACTCAGTGGGTGCTAGGCAGCAGATGTGGACAACAGTTTCTTCTCAGAGCTCTTTCTTACTTCGTTTCTTCCCCAAACTGGAACAGACATAACGGGTTTGGGCACAGCCATAGTCCAGGATCAGAGTTTGGACTGATAAGAGACATTAAGTGTGAACAGGGCTAGCTCTGTGGAAAAAACAAGCAGTCTTAGAGAAATCATGGCTGAATGTCTTCCGTTAGTCCACTCTGTAAATGAGAAACCTCAGCATAGCTCCACAAAGTGCCCTGAGGAAGTGATGGTGAAGGAAGAAAGTCCAGGACCTTCAGGTGAGGAGACTGGACTGTGAAGATATTTAGGTGTTTCCTATGCCTGGGTTGAAATAGTGATGGCATAGTTTCCCAGTAAAAAGAAAGAAGCAGGTAACTTAGAAAAGAGTGCTTGTGTCAGTGTATGAAAGGAGAGATTTAGTAACCAGGGCTTTGGGAAGAAGAGGTTTAGGAGAGATGAGGAACCAAATTTCAGGAAAGTATGAATGGAAAGGAAGGATTAGGAATTGAGATCCAAGAAGGGGAAAAAAGAGGGGAATCATGAAGACAGTTTCCCTACTCACACACATCATGGTAGAGATTAACTATAATGAGGAAGAGTTTTAAGGATATGGAGATGTAATATCAAGAAAATGGGAGAAATAGAAAGGAAAGATGAGAAGAGCAAGGACCAGAGTCTGAAAGATCAGAGTAGGGAGAGGGGTTGGGCAGGCACAAGTGGGTTATACATTCCTGAATCCTAAAGAAAAAGCCTTTATGTTTTAGTCATTTTTCTTTATTCAGTTTCCTGGATACATTCCAGCCCTCTGCCTGTGAATTGTGGCCAGAAAAGGGCCTGGACAGTAGCTTTCATGCAGGAGGTAACCCCCAAGTGGGACAACACTTGGGCCATTGAGGACCTCAGTAGTCTCACAATGCACGAGAAGAGACAACGGGAGTCAACTGTGGAGCCGGAGCACCATGAGGTCTTCAACAGACTGCTTGGTAGGAAAATGCCCCAGACATGACCCCACAATTTTGTTTTTTCTAAAATGAATACATTCTCAATAGCTATACTGACCTGTAAGGAATAAGATCCTGTTTTTGGTAGTTAGCTCCCTATTATTGGTATGTGCAAGTAGAAGTTAATATATTGATCATTTTTCAGGGACACTCAGAAAATGACATAGAGAATAGACTTGGTAGAAGAAACTTGGGATGATACGTGGCCTTCACCACGTATTTTCTCTTTTGTATATTTCTGAGTCCAAATGTTTATCTGTATAGTGGGACCAGTACACTCACTTCTGTGATGTGAATGTCAGATGAGGATAGGAATGTGAATTTATGTTTTAATTTATGAATTGATACATTCATGCATATTAATAGGTGATAATCATTTATTTAAAAGTCTTAGTAATGCATATATTTTATAGAAATGCAACCCTACGTATGTTCACTCCTCATGTGAACTCCAAAATGGGATTCACTGTCTTAGTAAATGTTCTTTCTCTTACTCCCCTCATGCTAACCCTTGGACACAGCCCTGGAACTTCTCCAAGGAAGGTTTGGTGGGAGAGATAAAAGCTATCACATTACTCTGGGTTGCTTCAGGGCAACTTTTCTCCAGGTGTCAACCTAACATATGCCTTTTTTTTTCCCCCCTCAGAGGATCCTGTCATTCAAAGATTCTTGGCTTGGGACAAAAAACTGAGAGTCTCTGACAAGGTAACATTCTCCACCAAACTCTACTACTTGTTGTTGTTTGCTGTCGAGTCAGCCCCGACTCATAACGACCCCTCCTTGGGTTTCCGAGGCAGTATCACTATGGAAGTAGGATTGCCCAACCTTCCTTCCGAGGTCACCTCTATTTTCCTTTTTGACTAATCTCCTTCTTGATGTTTTAGCAAAGTGTTGATTTTTTTCAGTACTTGGCAACACCTCCATTCAGAGTCCTGTTATTTCTTTCCAGTGTGCCAGCTAACTCTTTGCCCTTGCAGGATCCTTTGGGATCTTGAGCACTAGGTCTTGTATTTTGACCACTGGTGATTACTACCTTCGTTCCCAGACCTTTGAAACAAGTTTTTGCTCAAGACGAAGTCCCTCACAATCTCAGGCATCCTCCCTCAGCACACTCCCTCAAGAGGGATGCCTTATCTTCACAGCATTATGACTTCCCCTCCCATGTCTTCTATAATTTGGAACTGACCCTCCAACAACATCCCTGCTGCTCCCACTGCCCTCCAACAAGCACACTCGCCCAATAGAGGGTTCTCCTCTCTGAGCTATGACCCTAACTTCCCACTGCATTATTCTGATGTTCATCCTCTTCCAGGATGTGACCACTCTGTTGTTTTTATTTCCCCATTAGTATCTCCTGTCCATGGTAATTGCCTATTTTAGCCGGGCTGGCCTCTTCTCCTGGCAGTACCAGCGAATTCATTTCTTCCTAGCTCTGTGAGTATGTTTCCTCATCTCATCACCCAACATTTAAATTCCTTGCTATGTGGGATGGTACAAGGGGACCTTTCAACTTACCTTCATGTTCTTAAAACAATTTTCACTGTTTTCTTTGTGTTAGAAAACAGTAGGGGATATTTGTCTGTGGGGATTATGGCCTAGTTTTTGCTTTCATTTTATACTGTTCAGTCTAAACAAAACCTAATACCAGTTTTTAAAAAGAAAGCAAAACTAAATAAAACATAAAACTCTTCTAAGTGGAGAAGAAAGAATTGATTTCTTCATGCTCAAAGAAATGGTCTTGAAACCGAAAATCTGATTTCTGCATCAGTACCACATCAAATCCTCTTGTTCTTCCTCATCTCATGGTGAGCATTCCATTTGAGATCCTATATCACACGAATCTATGGTAGAAATCTTCTAGCATGTTTTCCTTACTGTGGATATCCTCACTCCAGTCTAAAACAGTCTAAATCAAAGTTACAGCCCTACATTAAAAAAAAAGAAAAAAAAAAATTACTGACTCCCAATTTCCTTCGTAATCAAGTCCAGAATCCCCAGTTTGAATTCAACACTATCTACAATCTCTCTGAACCTTGTTTAACATCCAGATATTTAATTTTAATTTAAAAGAATTATTAACTCTTCCTTCCAAACATCCTGCAGTTACTTTCTTCTAGTTTTATATTATATACATTGTCTGGATATCTTTCAGGAATATATCACTGACTTAAGATTTTTGATCCATAAAGCTAGTTAAACTCCACTTTTTTATGATACCTTCTCTGAACTTCACAATCAGAAGAGACTTGACCTTCTGCATCTCAGTAACATTTAGTTGAACCCTCTTATCAGACACTATTTTATTACTTATCATCTTTTCCACTCTTCTTACACACCCTATTACTCTAAATACTACTTAAAGTCAGTCTTTTGTTATCACTGCATCCTGTAAAGAACTCAGCGCAATACTTTACTTTGCAAGTGTTTGCCTAAGTTAACAATTTGCTGTTAGCTACTAAAAGAAAGGTTGGTGGTTCATACTTACCCAGCAACACCATGGCAGAACAACACCTAACTGTCTGCTTCTGTAAAGATTACAGGCAAGAAAACCCAATGGAGATCAGTTCTACTCTGTAACACCTGGGGTCGTTATGAGTCAAAGTTGATTTGATGGCAGTGGGTTTGATTGGATTTAGTTTTTTTCCCCCCTGTTGTTGTTGTTGTTGTTGTTGTTATGTGCTGTCGAGTCGGACCCAACTCATAGCAACCCCTCCTTGGATTTCTGAAGCAGTATCACTATGGAAGTAGATTGCCCCATCTTCCTTCCAAGGAGTGCCTGGTGGGTTTTTCCCCTAAGTCTGTATATTTGCATGCATTGATTCAATCAACAAAAGTTTATTAAGTGATTCTAGTTTCCCAGAGACTATGAGGGGGTAGGAGTTCTAGTGGCCTAAGGCATTTGACTGCTAACCAATAGGTTGATGGTTCAAACCCACCAGTCACTCCCTTTGGAAGGAAGATGAGGCACTCTGCTTCCATAAAGATTTACCACCTTGGAAACCCAGTGGGGGTTGCTATGAGTTGGAATTGACTCGATGGCAGTTGGTTTGGTTTGGCTTGGTTATGAGTGGATAAACCAAAAAAACCCAAACTTACTGCCGTCAAGTCGATTGCAACTCATAGCAACCCCTCCTTGGGTTTCCGAGGCGGTATCTCTACAGAAGTAGATTGTCAAATCTTCCTTTCGATATGGGTGGGTAGGAAGAGATGAAAAGGATAGAAATAAGAAATGTTCTTTGAATTAATGTATGTTGTTGTGGTACGATATAAGCAAGATACTAGATTAGTTTTTGGTGGGAGGGAGATGATCCAGAAATAAAGCAGAGTAAGTTCATCTCTTTGACATTTTTACTGTGTAGTAGAGAAAGATTGTTTGCATAACAAGTAGGAATGAATAGGGTGATGAAGTGATGGTGATAGAAAATTGTGATGTAAGCTGCATTGCTTAATAATGGCAGAATACAGCCTCAAGGTTCCAAAAAAGGTACTTACTATCCAAGTATGAAAAGGGTCATTCTCAGTGTTCCTTTACAGAAGTAGGTTTTCCAGTTAACTGTGTCTGCTATTCCAGTCGAATGGGGATGATCTAAGATCAGGTACTGAAAATCATCAGCCTATAGTCCTTTCTAGGAAGATGATACTAACTGGAGTCTTTCTGGTTTGGCTTTTCATAAGAAACCTGATTTCTTTCCTCAGATACCTGGCCAGTGATATGGAGGAGGACAACCAGGCCCCTAAACAAGCCATATTTTTCTTCCTCTATGGGAAGAGTCACTTTCATCGCCCCATGTTCCACAAACTACGGTTTCAATTCATTCGTTCCATGTACTGGAATATTCGAGTTTCTCGGGAGGAGTGTGAAGAGGTAGGATTATGAGGATTTGAAGGATGATTGGAATAGACAAGAGAGAGTGACATGGCAGTTTGAAGTTTGGATTTGAGAACTAGGGGATATTAGATGCTGTATAAGGAGAGGAAAGGCTGTATCCTTCTGGAGGGTCTTCATCTTAGTCATTGGATATTTTTCTTTCCAGATTCAGGCTTATGATCCAGAGCATTGGGTGTGGGGACGAGATCGTGCTCTCATTGCCTAGAACTCCTAGAGACCACACAGGCCTGAAATAATCAGTCTGAAGAAACCAAAAGCTGCAGCTGTCCTCAAATCTGAGACCAGTGATTCATTGCCATACAGTAAACATCAGATTAAGAAAAGAACAATCCTCTAAAACAGGAGGTGGGGAAATTTAGTTGTGAGGGGATTTATTGTATTGTAGTTGATCGGGATATATAGTAAATGATCATTTTAGTAGTAGAACAATTTTATATATTCTCAATTTTATATATTTGTAAACATGTTTTAATCTAAAAGTGAGATATTGCTACCTCAAATGAGCACTAAATACAAAAAAAAAAAACCACATAACAATAGAAATTGAGTTACAGGCATAAGAAGTAGCTAGAAATTATGATACTTGATTAGAGCAAATAGATAGTAAATTACCAAAGAGGTTTTTATAGTGTAGCTAAAAATATTTACTTTTAACAAGTTTGTATTAAAAATTTCATTAAAGTCATCATATATTTCACTAGTTGTCTTGAAAATATTAGTCATACAGTTTTCATTTTAATTTAAAATTTGTGCTTTTAAACTATCTTAGGAAAAGTTGTATGATGCATGTTATTCATGTTACATAAATTTTACAATGATTTTTTCATTTTAGCTCTTAAACTTATATAGATAGGCAACAGTTCCCTGAAGGCTTTGTAAATTTTATTTTATCAAGTGAAGAAAAAAGTCTACAAGAGACAACCTCAGTTACCCTAAGACCAGAAAAATTAGATGATGCCCAGCTACCACCACTGACCCTCTGACCAGGGTTGCAATAGTTGATCCTGGGTAAAATGGGAGAAAAATACAGACCAAAACTCAAATTCTTATTTACAAAAAAAAAAAAAACAGACAAAAAGGAAGAATAGAGAACAGAGGACTCCCTGAAACTCTCACCCTGAGACACTCTTTAAACCTGGAACTGAGCCTATCCGAAGATCACATTTTAGCGAAATAGTGGAGTGGCACACAAAATAAAGATATTACCCATAAGATTGGTGCCCTACATAAAAACCGTCAGTCCATCAGTATGAGACCAAAGGTCAACAATTACTCAAAAACAGAGATGAGAAGATAAGGGGGCAGGGAAACTAGAGTACTGGGAAATGAATAAACAAAACACAAGTAAAAAGAACATAGTATTGGGATAAATGTAACTAATGTCACTGAACAATTTAGGTGGAAGTTGTCAAATGGGAACCTAAATTTACTGGTAAACTTTCATCAAAAAGGCAATAAAATATTATTTTTAAAAAAACATTTATTTGATGTTTCAGCTTTTCTATTGAATTATTTGGATTTAATTGTTCTTTTGAACTTGCCTTGATATGTTTATAGGATAGTTTATATTATTATAAAGGACAGATTTTTGCAAGTATTTGGAAAGTAATTATCTCAAAGCCAAAAGCTCAACAAGAATGTAATGTATATCAATATGGTAAAGATGAGAAGACTTAACACCTTCAATATTTGTGTGATAGCACTTGTCTCAATTATTTCTTCGCTGTTAAATTATATATTTTTTAAGGTTTTGTGGTTATTTATCAGTTTTCTTTCATGACTGAAAAAAATAATAAAAAAGAAAATGTTAATAGGAAATGAGATAGACCCTGAACTACAGTCTTTATCAGGAAAAAAAAACTAGGAGGCTAGAATGAGGGACAAATAGAGGAAGTAAAGAAGGAATCCAACTGTCTGGCTTAATCTCTAAACCTCAGCATGATTGACATTCAAGTTGAATAATTCTGTGCTATGAGGGTTGTCATATGCAGTGGAAGATTTGTGATATCCACCCTCTTCATGCCAGTTGTATCCCTTCTTAAAGTTGTACCAACCAAAAATGTCTCCAGACGTTGCCTAATGTACCTTGGGGTAAAATTATCCTTACTTTACAACCATTGATCTACAAATAACTGGATGAGGAGATCTGTGGATAACTGGATGTGGGAAGAGCAAAGAGACATAACTACGAGGACATTTTAGAAGGAATGTGTGTAAAAGGAGAGACACAGAAACCTACATAAATAAGATAGAAATATAGACTGCAAATAAGCTTTTAAATAACTTAGGAAATAATGAAAAATTAAGGATATGTGCACAGTTCCATACACAGATTTGAAACTGTGTTAAGAAAGATTGTTGTTAGGTGCCATAAAGTCATCTCCAACTCATAACAACCCTAGGTACAACAGAACAACACACTACCTGGTCCTGTGCCAGCTCCATGATCCTTTCTATACGTGAGCCCATCGTTGCAGCCACCATGTCAATCCATCTTGTTAAGGGCCTTCCCCTTTTTCGTTGACCCTCCACTTTACCAAGCATGATACCCTTTTCCAGGGAGTGGTTCCTTTTGACAGCATGACTGTGGTAGTTCAGTTTATCTGTCAACTTGGCTGGACATGGTTGAGTAGCTGGGCAGCTGGTGGTAGTATTCCCCATGATGATCAGCTCCATGATGGAATCTACTGTGAGCAGCTGAGTAACTGCCTTAGGAATGTGGTCTGCTTCCTGTATATACAGAGAGGCCTTGGAGAACAGTCTCTAGCTTACAGCACACTTGAACCCTGCATGTAGCCGTGCCATTGTTCAGCAGCCTGCCATGCTCTGGGACTTTTAATGGGCTTGAATTAATGGCCTGATGTGTGGTTTGGTAACATTAGGACTGTGGCATTTTTTTTATCGACCTTAGGCTTGTTAGCCTCGGCAGCCAGTAGCTGCCTGAGTGAAGAGATGCCTCTACCTTCAGTGGGCCAAGAGCAAGAAGCAGAGCTTCTTGCTGTGGAAAACCCCAAGGTCGAGGGGCTTTCACACAGCCCCTAGAGCCTGGCACTTTGAAATCGGACTTAAAGCCTCCAAATTATAAGAATAAACTCCTGTTTGTTAAGGCCATCCCATTGGTGGTATATTGTTGTCAGAGCAGTAGTAGGTAACCACAACAGTGACCAAAGTAGGTGAAATGAAGTCTGGCCATTCTCGGTTCCAAGGAGCATTCTGGCTGCACTTCTTACTCATGGCAAACACCACAACTCAAAAGCATCAGCTCTTCTTCGGTCTTCCTTATTTGTAGGTTGTTACTGAGTCTCCAATCCTAATGCCACATTCTTCTTCATCTAATCCAGCTTCTCAGATTATTTGCTCAGCATACAAATTGAATAAATATAGTAAAAGGATAGAACCCTGACACACTCCCTTCTTGATTTTAAACCATGCAGTATCTCCTTCTTCTGTTCAAACGACAGCCTTCTGATCTATGTATATATTCCTATGAGTACAATTAAGTGTCCTGGAATTTCCATTCTTCTCAATGTTATCCATAGTTTGTTATGATCCACACAGTCAAATGCTTTTGCATAATCAATAAAACACAAACATCATTCTGGCATTCTTTGCTTACAGCCAAGATCCATCTGACATCAGCAATGATACCCCTTGTTCCATGTCCTCTTCTGAATCCAGCTTGCATTTCTGGAAGTTCTCTGTCAATATACTGCTGTAACCATTTTATGAATTATTTTCAGTAAGATTTTACTTGCATGTGATATTAATGACATTGTTCGATAATTTCCACATTCTGTGGGATCACGTTTTTTTCAGTGGGTACAAATATGGATCTCTTCCAGTCAGTTGGCCAGGTAGCGGTCTTCCAAATGTCTTGGCATAGCTGAGTGAGTGCCTCCAGCGTGCACATTTGTTGAAACATCTCAGTGGGTATTCTGTCAATTACTAGAGCTTTGTTTTTTTGCCAATTCCTTCAGTGCAGCTTCAGATTTTTCCTTAAATAACATTGGTTCTTGATCATATACCACCTCCTGAAATGGATGAACATCAATCAGTTCTTTTTGGTACAGTGACTCTGTGTATTCCTTCCATCTTCTTTTGATGTTTCCTGCATCATTCAATATATTGCCCATAGAATCTTTAAATATTGCAATTCGATGCTTAAATTTTTTCTTCAGTTCTTTCAGCTTGAGAAATGCCAAGCATGTTCTTCCCTTTTGTCTTTCCAACTCCATGTCTTTGCATATTTCATTATAATAATTGACTTTGTCTTCCCGAGCTGCTGTTTGAAATATTCTGTTCAGCTCTTTTATCTTGTCATTTATTCCCTTTGCTTTAGCTACTCTCCCTTCCAGGGCAAGTTTCAGAGTCTTTTCTGACATCCATTTTGGTCTTTTCTTCCTCTACTGTCTTTTTAATGACCTTTTGCTTTCTTCATGGGTGATGTTCTTGATGTCATCCCACAATTCCTCTGGTTTTCAGTCATTGGTGTTCAATGCATCAAATCTGTTCTTCAGATGGTCTCTAAATTCAGGAGGGATATACTCAACATCATAATTTGGCTCTCATGGACTTTTTAAATTGTCTTCAACTTCAGCTTGAACTTGCATATGAGCAGTTGATGGTCTGTTCCACAATCAGCTCCTGGCCTTATTTTGGCTGAAGATAAGAGATTCTCCATCACCTCTTGCTACAGATGTAGTCAATCTGATTCCTGTGTACTACATCTGGAAAAGTCCACATGTATAGTCACCATTTGTGTTGTTGAGAAAAGATATTTGCAGTGAATAAGTCAGTGGTCTTGCAAAATTTTATCATGTGATCTCCAGTGGTATGTCTATCACCAAGGACATATTTTCCAGCTACTGGTGATTCTTCTTTGTTTCCAACTTTGGCATTCCAGTCACCAATGATGATCAACACATCTTGATTGCATGTTTGATCAATTTTAGACTGGAGAAATTGGTAAAAATGTTTAATTTCGTCATCTTTGGCTTTGGTGGTTGGTGCCTAAATTTGAATAATAGCAGTATTAACTGGCCTTCCTTGTTGGTGTATGGATATTATCCTATCACTGACAGCATTGTACTTCAAGATAAATCTTGAAACATTCTTTGTGTCAATAAATGCCATGCCATTCTTCTTCATTTTGTCATTCCTGGCATAGTAGATCATATGGTTGTCTGATTCAGAATGGCAAACAAA